ATAACTAAGAAATGGAGAAAGTCTCCCCACCCCCACCCCCATGCATTTTAGTAAAACGAAAACTAAAAGTAGTTGTATCATCATATCATGTTTGCCAGTATTTCAGCCAGCAAAAGCAGGACTAAAACAGCTTTCTCCTTTTATATTGTATGTTTGGGGGAGTGTTTACTGAGTAAAACCAAAAAAGTTGATCCAAATTATTAAAAATGGCCTTTTTGAGAACAGTATGCATTATGATAAAGTTAGTCCTGTTTTGTATAAATAATAGTGTTTAATATGTATTTCCAAAAATAAATGTCTCAAATGGAAATAATAGTGTTTAATATGTATTTCCAAAAATAAATGTCTCAAATGGAAATAATAGTGTTTAATATGTATTTCCAAAAATAAATGTCTCAAATGGAAATAATAGTGTTTAATATGTATTTCCAAAAATAAATGTCTCAAATGGAAATAATAGTGTTTAATATGTATTTCCAAAAATAAATGTCTCAAATGGAAATAATCAGATGAGGCTTTTTGGGGGGGGGGAGGGGGGGAGGTTGGGCTCACATGTAAATCTTTTTTTCTCCCAACACTTCTACATACTGATTAGTTCAGGTATACGGCCATGGTATTGTGTTAGAGAGAAGTCGGCCTTTAAAGGAGGACAGTTAAGAAACTGGACCTTAACTGAAGAGAAAGCTGGAAGTGCTTTATATTTTATACAGGGGTACAGAGCAGATGATCTTTTACATATACTTATTTGTATTAAATGAAGAATCTTGACTCTTGGGAAGATCAGAAGAAGGTTTTATAAATCCTCATCCCTTCAGAGAAATTAACCCATCCAACTGTTGTTTATTCAGTAACTTTATGTGATATTCAATTCCAGGTTAAAGAGGTCTAGTTTCAAGATCACAGTGCTCTGAATGATAAGCTGCCAAGTCTGAATTTGAATTGCACATCCCATGATTCCATAGTTGGCTAATAGACCACGGATAATCCAAGGTTATAAATCTGATAGGTCAATAGACCCAACTCAGTTAAATTCAGAAGACAGCCAAATGATAAAGCTGCCAAACGGAGCCTTAGTTATCACAATAAGGTCCCACTATATTTCTGTGTAAGCTTGTCCTCCACAGGAAAAGTTTAGAAGGGATGTCCAGAATGTTGTTATATGCAGTACTGCAGAACTTTCCTTGCTGACTTGAGCTGAACCATTCGAATATGATTCCAGGAATAATTATCAATGACTCTGTTTATCCCTTCATGATTAGTACAAGCACCAAAGGATCCTATGGTGTGTTTAAAATCTTGAGTTTTCTTGTGGCATGCTTCTTCCTGAGTTAGCACCCACTATGTCAGCAAAGTAGACTGGTCTATGAAAGTTCATGCCATAGTCAGTCTTTTATGAAACCACTTGATTGCTTTTCCTGCAACAGAGTAATTAACCCTCTGTAATGCCGCTTTTCAGTCAATGGCATCAAATCCTGCCAAAATACCTTAGTAAGATCAGTATAGGATTTAAGTCTTAATAACTAATCCATCCTGACAGCTAGGTTTGTAGGCTCGCCCCCTAGTGCTAGATGCTTTCAGATTGTTTTATTGGGCTACTGAGCTGTGCTGATTTCTTGAGCTATACTCTGAATTCCTTGCATTTTCTTAAAGCCTAGCTCTGGTGATCAAGATGATTTCCCCTGTGATACTGAGAGGTGAATGGTGAAAGCATGGGTTAATCTGTAAGGTGCATAGAGGTAGGGTTCTGCTATGGCGTGGAAGACAGCCATCCTAGTGTTGTGAAAAACCCTTCCTGCTTTCTCTCCACCTCACTTGCTCTTGCCTTAAAGCCTAAACTTACCCACAAGAAAGGGAGAAAGTGTTGGTTGTTCTAGAATGGCAGTGGCTCTCGTATTTTGCCCTTAATATTGAATTGTAAAAATGTTCACTGTCATCACTTATAGGCTGTTAGTTGAACGTTTCCTCACCAGTCACCAAAGGCTTATGTATACAAATGAGGGTATATACATGAGACACTAGGAAAAAAGATGAATGAATGAATATTCTACCTTTTCTCGAAGAGCTCAAGGTGATGAACCAGAGGATCTTTCCTAACTGTATTCCCATAATAGCATTGTGGATGGGACTGAGAGAGAGAGATTGGCCCAAAGGCACTCAATGAATTCCATGGTTGACTTCAGACTAGAAATGGTGTCTCCCAGCCCACTATCCCTACTGCACTCACTGGCTTTGGGTACTGGCTGTGTAATGTCTGCTGACATAGGTCCAGTTGTAAAACCCATTTAGGATATTCTCAAAATCATGAAGGAGAGTAGCTATATAAATTGAATAAATAAATCAGGGCAAACCAACCCATTGAAAGCCAACAGAAATTTCACAGAACATTACATTCTTTACAATAAAACTGTTAAGTTTGTGTAAAGATGTTGCTTGTATTGCACTTGAGCAGATGCTGGGAACAGCACACACAAGACAATCCATAAGTGAAATTAGGATGAGAATCCAGTAATTTCCAGAAGTGCATTTTTCCCCCCTGGGACAACTTTGTTCAAGTCATTTCTTGCCTCCCCCTTTTCTATAGCTGCAATTTCACAAAATGAAAACTACTTTAAGTGAGTGCCATGTGATTTGGTTGGAATATTTAAGCATATATTTAAGGAAGCCAGCTGGGGGTGGGGGAAGCCCCAATTTGCTGATTGTTGCCTGTAATGAATGGGAGAGAGTAAGAAATGAATGCAGATAAAGGCCTGGGTTGAGGTCCCAAAGGAGGGACTGAATAGCAAAGGGAAAATGTGGCCAAAGAATTCCTATACTGCCCTGTGACTCCTGCCAAGGGAGAGGGAGAAGGGGGTCATAGGAAATTTCCGAGAGAGGGTGACTTGTGATGGAGATGGTTCTCTGTTCAGGATGAGTGGCCCCATTGCACCACACTGTGCCTGTATGAGAGAATCTGTGATAAATAATAAGAATAAAAGAAAACATAAATAATTAAAGTGGCTCCCAAAACGTCTGTCTGATTTAAAAACTAATTACTTGGAAGGTAATCATCACCAGAAATTGCATATCTTTACCCACAGTGCTGTTCTCCCCCTCCCTCCCCCCTGCCAGATCTTTCTATCTCCTAATCACTATCCAGGACATCAGTATTCAGGATTATCTTTTATCGCTTGCAGACAATAAACTGGACTTGACTCTTCCATCTCTCTGATTAATAACTTCATTGGAGTCATATCCCAAAGTGCAATAAATCCTCACTAGAAATAACAATCTAGGAGCCAGGGTTTTAGTTTTTAAAGGCACCCATCAGGCAGTATTCTCACCATTGGAATAAAAAGGTGTCAAACTGCAATGTGGTGGAGTGACACAAATGGAAACCCTCTGGCTAAACCAGCACTGACATTTAAGATGGCTTGAAATTTTAAGGGCAGGAGATGGTAGATCCAGTCTGACTTTTTTTTAACCAGAACTCCAGTTCAGGTAAATGAGTTAGGTGCAAAATGGTGGTTGGGGGACATATGTCCACAAATCTGCATCAGAGTTATTACAAATCAGGGATCCCAGTAGTCTAATTCAGACCTTTAAATGGCTACAGAGAAACCAGTAGTAGTATGGTGCCCACATTACCCCCCAAAAGCTTTTCCATCTTCCTGGGGGCCAAAAATAATTTCAGATACGCTAGTGCTTCCACGTGAGATCTCATGAAGTCATTGTAATCTTGTGAGATCTGACATGAGAACACAAAACTTAAATAACTTGTGTACAATCATAACATTTCATGAAATTTTGTGATCTCACAAGAATTGGAACAATTTTAGGGAAAAACCTGCATTAATGTGGTCCTGTGCTAAAACGAAAGTTGGAACCCCTTGCTGATTTACTTCAAAATACGGAGATCTAAGAGCCCATTCTGATCTGGGTTGGGACTACTTCTGCATGAAGAACTTCCTTGTGTAAGGGGAAACAAAGCCTCAAATCAATATAGCCTTCCCTAAGATGCTGCTGCTTGGATGTGCTAAGATGATATTCCCTAGGCAACATGAGAGTTGTAGATCCAGTGAAAAGCACTAAGCACTAAAACAGCTTGGATGCATATAAGATGGGTGCTTGGGAAGCTGTAGAATGAAAAGGTAGGCCTGCTGAAATTATTTTACCGAATTATTGAGGATTTGAGAAGAATTGCCACATTTTTAAAAAATCTGACCCTGTTTTTTGCCCCCAGTTATCTCCAGGCTACAAAACCATATGAGTGGATTGCAAGAGTTGAGAGTGGCAGCAAGACGCTCCTAACTCCAACAGACACGGACATTTGAGCAGGAAAGCACAAACGCTGAGCCAGCTTTACAACAGCTAAAATCCTGTACAGGCTCAATAGATGCATGTCAGAGATGCTAAATCAAAGAGTTCTGGGCGATTCTGCAAAGCAAAACACCAACCCCCACTATCATT